TTGATTCTGATATCAATTTCAGCAAAATAATCACACTTATTTTGAGAATAACAGAACTGTGTTTTTGATTTACGGGTCACTGACCTACATCATCTGCGGTCATAATACATGTTAATAACGAGAAACAAAAGTATTTTGGGCAAGACAAATCGGGCTACATCTAAACAAGCAGCTAATTCGATTGGAGATTGCAGAAGTAAAAGGTATGATTGAGCAATACAAAAGCCAGAGCACACGTTAGACATATAATATATGTATACAGTATATATGTACAATAAGATTAAGACAATAAGTTAAATAAATAATCTAATCTACGCTAAGGACAAAATATAATATGGGGAAATGCACTGATATGAAATTGAAGCATTTGGTCTCTAGTAACACTTCTAATAGGTTTAAGGGTGTGTCATGGTGGACGGCGTTATTACCAGAAAGCCCTTATTATTTTTTTTAATAATTACCGTGACATATGTATGCCCTTTTTAAGAACTTCATACAAATTGAAAAATATGGGGGAAAAAACAGTCATCCCAAAAAATAATATGCTTTGATTATTTGAAAATGTGATCAATATATTTTAAAAAGAACTATCAGTAGATACCATATATTATACAAACAAGATTGGATATAAACATAAAAATAGTAAAATGATTAGATCATTAAGAGGAATGGAAATGATGATTAGCAGCTGCTCGTAAACAAATATGTAATCAATAAATAATTCTTAGATGTGAACAGTTTAACAGTCAGAATGGTGAGAGTTGTATCAAGCAAACTCATATATTAATTGCATGCAGATAGTTAATGACTGTATTCTATGTTTACGGTCAGCTTTATGGTGTATCCAATCAGAAAGACCAAATTTGACTCAAAACAATGTCATCCTTTAAAATTTATACCAGAAACTAACACAAAAAATGAATTCAACAGAACTGTTTCAAATTATTCTGATAAAAAGAACACTCCTTTTGAATTAGTTGGTACATTCCATTATGAAGTATTTTTATTTCAGGAGAAAAAAGCAACACATTTTTTCTCAATTATAACTATTAATACCTACAATAATAATAGAGGATAAACCACAATTATTAAATAATAAATGAAAGAAGATGATACCCTATTTTGAAAATTCAATTCAAACTTTAAAAGGAATCGAAACAGCAAAGATATCAAAATAAACAAACTATTAGGACTAAAATATTTGGTGCATAGCTGCCATCATTCACTCACTCACTACTTTAGAAAAACTACTTTGTTAACTAACTATGCCAAAAAATAGACAAATTTCTAACAAAGGACTGCACTTCAACCCAAACTGTGACCATTTCTTCAAAGTACATCACAATTTGTGTCATTTGTCAGTTGTCAAATATCACACACTTTCGTTTTGGTGCTTTAATCTCCCTGCCATATTTTAATGCTTCCCCCACCCCAGCCCCCCGCAAAAAAAAGGGGGGGGGGGGAGGGACACCTTCAATCTCACCCCTTGCCCTATGTTCACACACAATTAATAATGTTATAAATAATTTCATGATCCACAGGGAAGAGATGAGAAATGACCTAGGGACCAGGTGGAAGCATCCAAGGAGTCTGTGGTTTCCATGTCCATGGAATTGTCACTCCCAGAGAAACTAGAATTTGTACTTAACTGCTGAAGCAGATTGTCTTGTCCTAATCCACTGCCTATTACATCTTCCGTAACTGTGTTTCTCAAAGTACTTGTCAGCATAGTGTTTGCTGCGTTGCGATTCGTCAACACTGGGTCGTCTCCATCCAGATCCCAGGAATGCTCCAGCATACTATTATTGCCAGCACTTACCGAGTTAGTTGTGCTCATGTCAGTTCCATCTTGATCATCAGAACCAAGGAAATCTTCCTCACTAATACTTATCACCTGTAATTGGGGTAGCTGGGTCAAATTTTGCTTTGCATTCCATATTGACTGTGAATTGGGGATGAGAGCTTCGTAACCTAATTCCGGCAATGGCACCGACTGACTTCTTTGACTTTGTTTCAATGATAAAGCACGATTTATCACATTATTTGTCAACTGTGCACAGACACCTGAAAAATTTAATTGTGCTGGTGGTCCTGAAAGTCTACGGTGTCGTCCCCAACTAGTAGCACTTCTACTAGTCAATAAATTGTTAGATCCCTGAGCAACACCGGGAGACACCTCAACTGTTACTGGGTTTGGTGATGGTGGAGGCATGCTCTCAGATTCTGACTGAAATAATTGAACGTTGCCAGAGTTAGAAAGCATAGGAGACACTGGAGTTGCACTTCTGCTGTTTCCTGGAGAAGTTACTCCTCCGGGGACAACCTTTGTTTTTGAAGCACTATAGGGTTGGTTAAGTTTTTTCCGTGAAGATGATGATGCCCTACGATGTCTGACAGGACCAATATTGCCTTGTACACCTCTTATGGCCATCAGTTCCTGTCTTGCTGTTTTGGGTACCTGCCGTGGTGCTTCCTGACACATCACCAATTTGGGATTTTGTTCAGAAAGATTAAGTTTAACGCCCATGGTAGCTTTTGGCTTTGGCATTGCTTTCAGATTCATGTGGACACCATTTGGAAGGATACTCGTCGTGTTTGCAATTGGTGTGAAGCTAAAAACATTTCCTTCAGATGGTCCTGGTGATGGCAATGTCTGAATAACATATTGCTGTCCAGATGTTTGTGCTATTTGGGAATGAGATAAGTAGCTTGGACTTGATGGCACACTCATACTGCCAGAATTCAAGAGAGCTGGATGTGTGTTGTTTTTGACGTTGTAAACAGTACTACTGTTGCTGTCGGGGACTACCTGAGATGCACTGTTTGTCTTTGCATTTGCATTAGCCGTGGTGGCACTTGCTCTTGGAATGGTTGAGTTCAGAACTTGAAGTGAGGGTGATGAGCAAGGATTTTGCCATTCTGGGATGCTGCCATTATTCTGTAACACCAGCATGTTATGTAGAAGGGAAGTGTTGGGATTAGATTTACTACCTGTTGGCAAATGCAGTTGACCAGTGTTTTGCTTTTCTTGTGTGGCTGCCTTCGGTTGAGGAAGCTTTTGAAGGTCTATTAGCTTCAGTAGAGTGGCAGAGCTTGAATTATCAGTAAATGTTTGCTCTGAAATTTTCTGTGTCTCCTGTTTCAGTGACTCGCTTTCAAGTGCGCGTTGATGATTCTGTTGGGAAAGTGGTCCTTGGTTAAGGGAAGCTGCAAGACATTTACCTTGACTTTGGACAAGTTTCTCATTAACAGCACTACCAGCAACAGAAATAGAGAACTGTTGAGAATGACCTGCAGGATTATTTGTTAGTACTGGTGGCATGCAAGTTATCATTGAAGCAGTTGATGCCGGCACTGGTTCACTTGGAGATGACATGCTTATCGGCGTCTGTTGAATTGAAAACACAGCAGGCACTGATATATTAGGAGTCAGGTTTGAAGGTGTGCTATTTAGTGTGACCTTCTGGATACTTCCCTGAACAACCCTTACCCCTTCTGAACTGCTTTTTGTGGTTGAGTTTGGCATAACGGAGCATGGACTAGCTACAATCGCTGCTCTTACACTTGTGTCTGACGTTTTCACTAAATGTTGACAACTTACAGGAATGCTACTTCCACCTACTACAGTTGGCAACTTCTTGATCGATTCAATAGTTGGGCCACCACTTCCTTTTATATCTTGCATGATTGGTGTGTTGGGCGCTATAGTAATTAACTGTAGATACGTTTGATCTTTGAGGTTTGCCAGTGGAAGTACAGGTGTAGAGGTTTGCCTAGTTGGTGTTCCCGCCATTGGAGATCCTGTAATCGGACTGCCCATTACACAGATCACCGGTCGACTTTGGCTTTCAGAGATTGAGGTTTTTGGCATCAGTGGTTTTAGCTTCCTGGTATTTGGGCTTTCCTTTGGATTGATTCGTTCCTTATTGTCCATATTGGTGTTGATCTGATGGTTAGCTGTGCTGCACAATTTCTTTGGTGAGGAGTTATCGTTATCAGTAGTGGCATCACTACCACTGAAACTTGAATCCGAACTTCGAGAATGTCCACTGTCACTATCAAATTTCAATTGGTAGTCACTGCATGTTATCTCCATTGGTTCATCGTTTTTTGATTTGTCTACTTGCTTTGCTATTGGTGTTTGTGATTTTGAAGGAGAGTTTAGATTTGACTTATTGTTAGCCTCGGACTGCATCTTCTGCTTCTGGCGACGTTGAATTGTTCTTTGGAGGTGAAGGTTAGTCTCCTTATGGGTCAGGATACCAGTTCGGAATTTGTGGAGCATTTGTTTCGATGGATGTTCAACAAGGAGGTTAAAGGCTGCAGCAGACTTTCCCTGCACTTTATTATTATTGACAAGATGTTTAGCAATATCAACAACTGTATTGAAAGAACACCCGAAACGTTTGGATGCCCACTCGCAAACTACAAAATTTGCAGAGTCTTTAATCTGTTGTTCACCACCAAGGATTGATCCATTTCCCTGAAAAATGAAGACATAAAGAAAGTTAGAATTAATAGGCCAATATATAATTTTTTTTTAAATAGTGAAAACTATTATTAATAATAATCTCTGTGATATAAACGAACAGATGATAATGAATATGTCAGTACACAATCATTGGTCTTTCAGATGCTACATGAATTATTAATGCTTTCTACCAGGGGCTGAATTTATGCTTATTAAATTCATTTCAAGATAATATTTCCTTGTCTTACATTTTAACTTTATTTGACAGGCATAATTGTTGATTGGAAATAATTTAAAATTAAACAAGCAAGATTCCATTGAATTTGTATAAAGACATATTAATAACAAAAACAATGTACTTACTGGTTTATGTGTACTGATTACGTCAAGGTTTGGTAAAGATGGTGGACGGACCTCTGTTTTCTTATTGATGCCACTGTAGCAATACGTAAAAATCAGTTAAGAACCACAAGATTTCAAAGATTTCACTTCTACATTCAGTAAACTGGGTTTGGGGCATGCAATGGTGACTCCAAAGATGTCAATAGGGTGTCAAAAGCAAGAGGTCACCTGGGCCTTCTATCAGGCAAGGGTCAAGAGATGGAGAATTAATGAATAAATATAACAATATATAATACTAGTGAATCAATAACTACTGAATAATGAACTAATACTGTATAAGAAATTGTAATGAATAACTTATGACATAGTAAATTATAATTAATCATATAATAATTACTAAATAAATACATACAACAGTAAAACAATAATGAATAATGAATTAATGAAGGATATTTGGAATTGCCTCTGGTGCCAAGACGTCGCACCGTTATTTTTGGAAACGCTTGTCTTACAAGCTTACCAAAGTCTGCAGTACTTAGCACTTGGTCGTCAGACATTTCACAAAAACTTCTACAAAAAAAAAAACAGGAAAAAAATATTACTGAAGTATTAAAATTTAAAAATAAAAAACTCAAAAATAAATATCAAAACTCTAATAATGCTTTCTTTTTACTTCTTTGAGGAGTGTATTTCCTGTGGACTGGACTGGTTCTCTTCCATGTGAAACACATCCAGAATACCCTACAAAAGACTTATGCCCGGTTTGGTGATACCTTGTTTGGCGAAACAATTTGCTAAATAAGAATTTAAACAAAATTTTATTTTCATCTTTTTTCCGCCTTCCTCTGACTATCTTTAAAAAAATAAGTTCACAAAACAAGTCTCTCCTAAGGACACACACAATGGCAGTGTAAAAACATACGCAAAAACGTGTATGTGCGCAACAATACATGAGTTTGTAAGACGCGCATATTCCTGGCCTTGTTCTGATTGGTCTGTTGTTAAGTTTGCTTGACACTCCATGACTCCGGAATGGTCAATTGGGCAGTAAAACCTTCTGAAAGATGATGCGCTACATATTATACTCGCATTCCAGCCCTCTAGCTGAAACACAGGAGAGCAGCAATTTAGTGTGAACCAGGGACAAAGGTTGCTTAAGGATCTCCACGACTCAGTGCACATTCAGTGGCTACCACCAGTTTAGCCAACTGAGCTAACTTGTGATATTCAGTCATTTAAATCTTACCTACATTATAGTACTGTACATGTTGTAAATTATATTATTAAATAGTTCAGTATCTTTAAAAATTTATTATATATTCCAGCAGAGCTCATCAGCAACATCTATTAACTATTTGTAGTTCCATTCCCTCCCAACCAAAGTCAAATTGACACCAATGTTTTCATCCTTCTAATGGTACAGTATGCAGCATGTAATATGATACGTATTGCATAAACAATAGCATTATCCAAGGCTATTAAGGTAATAAATAATTTACACAGAGACCTAATAACAGAAATAGAAAATAGCAGCAATTCTACTGTATATTATTTCTAAATTTCTTTCTCTAACATCCAATGAATATGATCCAAAAACATTTTGAGAGGGTAATCATCATTGTTGAGTTTGTCTTTATTGTAATTTCCTATTTTCTGTTCCTCAGTGACCAACTAATTTACATACCATGCAAAGAAAGCCACCTCCCACCCCCAGTTATTCAGAAAAACAGCTTGATTTCTGTCAAAATTTGAACGTTAGGGCCTAACATTAAGAACTGACATTAAAGGGTTTTTTCTATTGTTGATTTTGTGCAAGAAATTAACATTTCTATTTATATATCCTAATAAAATATGAATGTTTTACTTTCACTTACCTACTTTGTTATTTGATCATTGTATTTCTAAAATGCTACTTCTCATAAAATTCACTGCAGTAAATTGTATTTACTACATTTGTAAATAGACACAAGTCTTTGCACATAGACTTTAACACTAAAATATTGCCTAGGCTTTTATATTTTAAACATAATCGAGAGCTTCATATTCAACAGCCATCCGGGGTATGAAAAAGTAGACCAATGAATTTCTATGATATTGATGAATTCATATTTTTGAGCATAGTACTCTTTCTACTATTGATTAATGTACATAAATACAATGAGATTCAGAGAATTATGAATAAACAAATGCAATTGGAAAAAGCTCCATGAAGAGCACAGTGTAATTCCACCATAAATCAACAAAAATGATGTTGAGAAAGGCCAACTATGCTAAGCATTAAATGTTAGTGTTATTTTTACAAAGTATAGTATCAAAATTACATAACTATATGTTTGGAATGTGGAAATTGATGTAACAAGCAACTGTAAGAAAATTCCTACTGCTGGGTCGTAAAATATGTTTTGCATAATTCTTGGGCATATCTATTGCTCCAACTATAATTTTTGCTTACAAAAATTACCATGTTTGTGGTCTTAAGGTCATATCTGAAGGCATAAGAAGTTGCTTTATACCAGCAACAGTCATGTATGGATCTAAAACAGAAATAAAATTTAAGGAGCTATCAATAAAATTACCTTATATTTTTCTGTATTATAACTTTTATAATCGTTCGTAATATTAAGGATAGACAATATTTGAAATTAATTAGCAAATAAAAGAAGCATTAGGCATGATTCATACCACATGTATCCCTAACCACGAACAATCAAGAGAGGAATTTTTCTGATGTGAGAGCCAGATTTTCATACATTTCATAAAATAAAGGGGGTGTGGGGGTGGGGGAGAAATTGGTGAGGCAGAGGAAATGGATGCGCAAGGAGGCGAGAAACTAATTTTCTTTTTTGGCCTAATAGGCCTATTACTCTGGTATTCAACCTTTTTAAGCTGGGGGCCAGTTTCAATCTATTGAGACCACCGGGGGCCCCCGACATAAATTTTAACTTCCAATTCTTTTTAATGTCAGCCCCACCCACTTTAATAGGCTTACAAGTCTTCCTAATAGGCATATTATTAGCCTTGGTTTTTCGACATCATCTAAGACAAGCCTTGTTTTGTAAAAATGAGGGAACGCAGTTGGCATAGGGAAAGGTGGGAGGATATAACAAATCTCCTTCTACCACTAGAAAAAAAAATTACCATCAATGTCCTAAGTAGTTGAAAAAAAGATCAGCGGCAGAAAGTTCCCGACGAGGAGTCAGATTACCTTTTCCTTGATTTACTCCAGCTCAACCATGGTTGGGGCTGAGGTGAGCAATTTTTTTAAATAAACACCTCTAGATTCCCGGAAATGGCACATTCAGAGCGTAAAGACACATCAAAGCAGTGTTTTCAACAGAATGACAAGCCTACGATCTTGTTCCATAAATCCGCCACTAGGGCTGCTAATAGTTAGATATACATCATATCAATGATCTCCACTACACTTAATCATTTATCCCTATCAGTCTTCCTCTCCCACATTGTCATTAGGACAAGAATCACCAACCCGTCTCCTCTCCCCATGGCAAGACACTAGATAGATATAGTGAGCTACACTAAGAAACACTTATAATGCTAAAGTAGGTAGTCATATTTTTATTAACAGATAAACTTTTTCTGTAAGTATTGAAAATCGGACGGAAAATTATTTATTTTTAGCAATGTTGCGTAGGGCCGGATCAAAATCTTTGGCGGGCCGGGGGTTGAATATAGGGGCGTCTTTCCGTAGCACTTATAATTTCTCCGATAATTTATCTCAAAATTGCCTCCAAATATTTTATCCCATCATGCAAAACTATGGGCAACAATGCAATGTGTTCAACATCAAAAGTCCTTCTTGTTGACCTAGCAGGTAAGATGATATCCCTAGGCCAAGAATGAAATTGTTTAGTTACTATCTCACTCTGGAAAATGAACTGTCACAATTATGTTTCATTGTACTTATAAATTATAGGCAGGTATAGACCTACTGTAGACCTAACAAGGCACCGTCAATGTCGGAGCACAGCTATTTCAGGCTTTCTTTAATATTTAATAAGCACAAACAAATTTACTCACTTTTTATTATTGTTTTTGATACTAGGCCCACTAACTAATAGTAGCCTTAGAAACTAACTACCCAAAAATATTCTTTGCATGACTGTGATTTGTCATCAGTCAAAGGTTATTTATTTTCGCATTCAGAGCATTTTCCGATAAATTATCAGATTCCCATCCGAAAATTTATCGGAAACTTTGGCCCTTATTTCCACAGTGAAAAATAATAAAATGGCTGTTTTCCGACAATTTATTGAGTTAAAAGTGCTGCGTAAACACGTCCTCAAATATGTGGCTAAATATTTTTACCTTTTTGCTCTCACATGAGAAAAAAAAGCAAACATGTTTAATAGTGACATGTGCACAAACAAATCACATCGTTTTAAATATTGTCCAGTTTTTTAGTTAATAAAATTTTATCATAATGACCTTATAAACAAAGTTTATCTCCAGTCCAATTTTCGTGGCTCTAATTTACTGTACGACTATCAACAATTTTGAAGTCAATTATAAATAATTGTAAATGTTTACTCTATTATTCTACCATTCTCCATGAGCCTACCCTATATTTTAAAATGTTCTAAAAATATATAATTTTAAGCTTGGCTTTTATAGAGTATAGTAGCTTTCATTTTATTAAATGTGAAAATTACTTTATGACTGGTTAACAGACAAATATAAAAGGGTTAGTGTGGAAATCATAGTCTCAGGTAGGAACAGGTTTAAGATAAAGAATAACGTGTCTGGACTTAATGAAATCTGTACATGCAAAAGGATACAAATATTTGACCAAATGAAAATTCTTAAGGGAAAATGAAACTATAAACACATATTTGAACTCTTTATGATTAGATCTGACAGCTCGGACATGTGGCTTACTTATATCATAATTAAATAAGCATACGACATGCTAAGCGAATAAATGTACAGTGATGTGTACTACAGTACTTTATATTGTGTTTAATCTAACACATTGTCCATACAAATGTGTGAATTTCTGGAACATTTAGAATATTTATCATATTTTAATATTTTATTACTTCAAATATTATTGTGTGGACGATGAAGAGAACTGAGCTAATAAATTTAAACAATAAAAATTAATATTCATAAGCAAGTTACTTGCTTTTCATTTGAAAATTAGAACAAGGAAAGGTTTTTTTTTAATACATTTAATAATGCATTTTTCTTCTCTTTTATAAGGTTTTATGAATAAATCAATGAAACACTGAACACTATAATATTCCTTGCAAGACATTTAAAACAGGTAGAGAGCAAAGTTAAAGAGGATTTTTTTTTTTAAATAATAATTATTTGAGGTATATTTATTCAATCTTTAATATTCTAAAATGCACACATTTTAGCAAAGGCTGAATTGAATGTATAAAAGAAATATTTTTAAAAAAAAGCAGAAAATTGACAAAAAAGAAATTACAGAAATTTACATTAAAAAAAATTGCAGGAAATTGAAAAATCAAAATAAATTTTCAAATAAAATGTCAAAAAATGAATACGTTTCATCAGTTTCTTATTAGAATTTTATAAAATTTTAC